CGGGCCTGTTTTTTTTTTTTTTTTTGGGGTGGGGTTGGGGGGGGGGGGGGTTGGGGGGGTGGGGGTTGAAGAATTCATAAACAAGGAAGGAAATGCTATTTCTTTAGAAGAAAGAAGGGATTGTAAATAAGAAAAGGCAAGTGTGCTTCTTTGAGATCCAAGTCAATTGCAAAAGAGGAGACATGTGATGAAGCAGCGATAAACTCTAAAGTCCGAAGAAGGGAGAGCTACGAAGAATCAGAGATGAGATGATCACTATTACAGAAATTGCCTATGCAAATATTATGGTTTTTAGTGGAAGAGCCACTTTGCTTGAGGTTGTTAGTTTAGACGAGGGGAAGGATATGCTATAAATTGAACAAGGACAAGAAAGAGAGAGAAAATGATTTTCATACAACCTCTGCAGTGGCACGATTTTGGATAGAGAAGGAATAAAATGCTGAGAGGCGATGACTTAGAAGCGTTTAAAGCACATGCAATATGTAATGTGGCATAACTCACTAAAATGGATAGATAAGGGAAGAAAGGAACTTCAAAAGGTAAATAGCACAAGTTGGAGAAATCATTGGCAGAGGGAGGATGTTGAGATTCACTACTGCCTTTTCCTTCTAGATGTCTCGATGTCACCATCATCATTAACATCATTCATGACATCATGTTAGCGTGGACACTTGCAAGCTTTTAGCCAGACACTTTTCTGATTTTGCACCATGTTGTCTATAGTGGATTTGTTTAGTCTACTATTTGGACTCACCAAAACTCAAAACAAACATCTGGCAAATATTCTGTTATGTATATTTATTATTTCTCCTTTCCAGTGGTCTTGTTTTAAAAACATTCAGGTTTTGTTTAAATCTTTACTTTAGTTTTGATGAAAAAGAACTATGTTCATATATGTTTTTGACTTAATTTTTTTATGTTGGTAGGGTGGAAAATAGGATAATCTACCCTAAGAAATCCAACATCTAAAATCCCCAAATTTAACTTGTTGATAATATTTTCCAGTATTAGATTATAAATGATATTGGATGTAATTAATCCAATAAATAGTTATGATGAATTTTACCAACAAAACTACTGTCCCTATCAAATATTATGCATGTGAGGTGTATATTGATTATGAAACAATTGTTATGCTGCAGTTAGATCACTGACATGATCCAGTTTCTTCTTCGGGTTGATCTCTTTCTGCACTTAATGACTATGATCTAAAGTATTCAGCACCAGGGGCGGACCCACATGGGGTCATGTGGGGTCAAATGACCCCACAAAATTTTGCCCTCTTTTTTTTTAAATCTACTTTGATGCACTCATCGGGATGTCAAATAAAATCAAAAATTGTATTCTTAATATCATTTTGAAATGTTTATGACCTAGTTTTTCACTCATTAATGGCATGCGAAGTGGTCAACTATAGCAAAAGTTATGACATATTAAAGTAGGGCGTTTGAAACTAGTGTTTTCAGAATTTCAATAATATCCTAACTTAAAAATTCGTTTGCAATTATGTGCTATCTGAATCCACAAATCGTCTATATTATGTAAAAGTTTGTTTCGAAAACTACATTGTTTTCATATCGAATGGTCCAAACAGATATCGAAAATAGTTAGATATGTATCAAATGTACGCCTAAAAAAAGATGTCTAACTCGTTTTTTCTTTTAAAAAATTAAATTAATTATTATTTTTGAACGATAAATTTTTCAATATAATTTATATCGTTTCATTCGGAAGTCTTACATGAAATATGACGTAAATTTTCTAGGATCGTTACGGATTAAATGCAATTTGAATTACTTTCGAATTATATTTGCTTTAAATTTGAATTTCATTTACTTCCTGAACTAAACTTGAATTTTATTTCAATTCATTTAATTTCTATATTCAATTTAATTTACTCAATGTTAGCTCAGCATTTGTCAATGAAATGATAAAAAAAACTATACAAGTAGCAAAATTTATTTAATAATATTAATAATGATATAATTATACGACGTTTTCAAAATGTCAAAATACATATAAGCTTATTTTTATTGATATTATGTTGTTTATTAAAAAAATTATTTTTAAAATTTTGACCCCTCAATACTAAAAGTTTGGATCCGCCCCTGCTCAGCACTTCTATCTGACCTATGTGTAAGCTTGTATCTATAGCATCCCAAACAAGACCAACAAGTACTTGATTGGTTTCGACTTTCTTGCTTCGTCATATATGTTGACATGACAGATTGAATAAATAATTCTCTTGGAATTAATTTAGTCATGACTTGTTTGTTAATAACTAACATGGGAGTCATATACTTTACCATTTACGGTTCTCAAATTCTTTTCCATTCTGTTTGAGCACCCATTTTCACTTCTGCTAGAGGGAAATCTTATATATTGACATAGAATTATGGATTGTTCTTTCATAGTTGATCACATTGTTATCGTAGTTAAATAAGTATTAATGTCTAAGTTTTGATGTCGAAAATTTTGCAGCCTGGAACTCTTATTGTGTCATTCTCTGGAGTGGGTGGTAACCTTCAATTGTCTAACATGGTGAGCAGTAAAAGGGGAGAACAAATGATTGTTGGACTGTGAATATTAGACCCTAGCTCCTGATTTGAGACATTATGGGACTAAAAGTTACTGAGCTCATTCATCTAATGAGATGGAATTCTTTGTATCAAGCATCCAGTGCTGCAGGGCCTATGAGGCTGGTACTTGCCTGTTGAACTGACTTTCTATACAGATTCCATTTCTGGGTACTCATGTATTCTTATTTGTTTACTTCCTTCTTCTTTCTCTTGGTAGGCAAATGCATCCTCTTTAGGAACTGTGCAGTTAATTCTCAGTTACCAATATAGTTTGGTCCATAATCTCTATCATTTTGGCCATGCAAGTGAGACATCATTGTATGGTCTTTCCTTTCACTTGATCTCAGTGAATGAGCTAGAATCTAGCCAAACTTTCTTAGAATTATTTAAAGCTAACCAATGCACGTGCACACACCTTTTATTTATTTTTTTCAATTTTAACTCTCAATAATTGGAGTTAAGAACGAAATTTCCTTGAATACATGGCATGAGTGAAGAGGACAGAAAACAAACAATTGAAGTAGTTGCAGCAAAAATCCAGATGTAAGACATCACCTGAGTAATAAGTTAAATTAATGGGTTTCAAGATGTCGATAATTGAGAAGTTCTCACTTTGTGTCTTTGACCTATTCATTAGTGGTGTTATTTAAAAACATTTTTTTCATTCTATCTGCCAATATTATCCTTAGTTCTTATATTCCGGTTAAGCGAAGATCATTTGTTACACAGAACTGTTAGTGATTTTTTTCTTGTTGAATAACATGAGGCTACGTCATAAGTTAGAGGTACATAGATGAGTAATATTGTTCATACTATTTGGCATTCTTTCTGTGTGGCGGGAGGGAAAGAAGCACTTGCATTCTATCATTTATCAGCTCCTCCAGCAACTGTAGTTTTTCGGTTAATTTGATTGCATCTTCTTTTATGCATGTTTATTTGTTAATGTTAGTTGTCAATTGCTTTTGTTGTTTTAGTAATTCTTTTTTCAGTAAAATTTGGCCTATCTCCTACATTCAAATCCAGCAGTACAGTTTGAGAGAATTGCCCCTAATGTTCTAACTTTTCAGGATCTGTTCGAGTTTTTCTGTTCTTCAAATTATTGCTTACCTATAGACTTCTTTCCTAATTAATTCCTCTTGTTTCGATTTTTATTTTTTGCTTCTTTTGTCTTTACAGGCACCCTTTTATACAGAAGGCACAGGTCTTTCTCCTGTTCCATTCGGTCTAGCCTGGCGACAAAATAACAATAATGGCATGTTTAGTTGGATTGAACACAATTAGACTGGAAAATTGATAAATTTTGTTGTACACTTATTTTTCTTCATTAGGCCCTATCTAGTATACCAAATATTGTTTGTTGATGAAAAAAACATAATATTAAGAATATGTGCAATTTTTTCACCTGCAAATTGGATGTCAGGGAGATTCCCGTTTTAATAATTCAATTCCAAACATTTAAATGCAATGCATATGTATTTTGGTGGGAATATTGATTATTTTCCCATCACTTGACATGCATCTTGATGTAGTAATTTGGACATGATTAGACAGGGTAACAATAACTTTTTTCTCTTCTTTAATGAGATGTTCCAAAACATTCCTGTACAATTCACTAATGTTTCATTCTCTTTCATACGTTTCATCCCCACCTATTTTAAAGTAACAATACATGGTGCAACTATCTTTGAAAGAGAAAACTAAGAGACTAGGAATTTTGTAGCTTTCAAATGAGGTCATGGAGACATAACAAATTGGTTTCTAGGGACCCTACAATTTGGTTCATCAATGCAAGTGACATTGACGATAAGTAGTAAATCGCAAAAGGAAAATGAATGAGTGGGTTACAAAAAAGTAAAAATTTGTTTATCCAACTTCGTATAACAAAAGAGTACTAGTAGATTATAAATAAGTTAAAGTTTCTTTGTTATATTGTATAATAAATAAGTATTTAGTATTTTTGAAGCAAATATCTCCATCTCGATTTTGCTAGAGTTTAAATATGTAAGAAAAGAAAAGAAAAGAACTTTATATTTAAGGACAAGTAACGCCAATCCTTTATTGGTATGGTTCAATCCGATTTACTTCTTTAAATATTACTTGGAAACGTTATCAAAATAAGTTTTGTTTGCACAGGACCTGTACAGAATACTCACAAACCATGGAGAGGGTGGGAGAATTTTTTTTTTTTTTTATATATAAATAATCACCCACCCCCAACCCAATGCAAGGGCATGTGAGTGCCCTGTACTGGCCCTGTGAACACGGCCTGTACATGAGGCAAAATTCTATCAAAATAGAGCAATTTTGCTTATTTAGTTACTAATATAAAACTGGAATGATTAAAATTTAGCTACTCATATAAAATCATTTCAAGTCAAGGGACCAGTGGTATTTTCTACCTGTAGATTTTGGAAACTTCAATTCCACCAATAAAAATGAAAATGGAGAGACAATTTCGAAACCTGGATCCAATATATCAAAGTTATATATATAGATCATATGTTAAAATCATGATTGTGTCATATCACTATTTGGGCAAATTAATATTAATTTAATGACTCATGTCATGGGGGCATCATTTGACTTTTTGAATTCTAACTATGATTTTATATATTTATTGTTACTATTACGAAAAGAATGACCGACAGCCATAAAATTTGAACCGAGTCAATAGGATCTCTTAGGTATTATAGTCAATGTTAAACCATTTCTTGAAATCATAGATGGAGACTTCTTTTCATTAATTAATTTATAAATCAATTAGGCAATTGCATGAATTTCTACCGACGAAGTTGTAAGGCACCATGATAATATGGATATTGAGATTACTATTAAATATTTTAATCGTTACCAGTGAGAGTGAGTAAGAAGAGAAGGTTCATCATGCCTTATCATAGGCATTGGATGATGCCATATTTTGACATCATCTAGAAAGAAAATATATGAATAAGTCACTTAGCCAGGCTTAAAAATAGGAAAGAACGAGACATATTGATTTGACAGCACATGATTGGTGTTTTTTGTTTTAATTTTTCAAACTATCCAACAGCATTTCAACACGTGTCTCACCTATTTTTGAACTCGTATGCGTAGCGTAATTGAAAATATTGAGTAAGAATGAAGTTGAAGGAATAACATTTATTTGTAATAATTTAGAAAATTGATTGTTACACTAGGTAAATAATTAGATGAGTAGATAATACATTTCCAATAAATGGAAAACATAAAAGTTCCTTTGAAAATTCATTCTATATTTAATATTTTAGAAATATTTCCGTGCAACTTATATATAATTAAATTTGTGATCCTATAGAATGTTGTATAGTTCAAAACATGGAATTTCCACCCCTTTTTCCCTTCCAAATCGTTCAAAAATGATTTATTTGAAAATGTTAGTCTTCTTTATTTGAAAATAAAGAGTGATTTTTCTAGAAGCATAGGATTTATTGGTTTTCCTTAAATTTGTAATGTAGAATATGTATCTACATTTCTTTTAATATTTTCTTTAGAATTAATATGTACAATAATATATTGAGTGAAATAATTTTTTTCTCACAAAATAAAGTAGTAATTTTATAAAGTATTTAATTTAATGTGATATTTTTATATGAAAAACAATTATAGTCATTGAGAAAATAATGAAACGACAGCAGAAAGTGAAGCTTGGAAAAGATGTGCATGTGCGTGGGGAACGATTCATCTTTTATATGTACTCCTTTCATTGGTTGAACATGAAATGAATAATTCTTCTTGAAACCATTAAAAGCAGAATCCATGGTGACCAATGAAAATTCTAGAAAAATTAATTTTACCAACAATTTATTATTATTATTTAACACTACAATCCTTTTCAGAAAATACGAAAATATTTTTATTAATTAAGATATTTAAAAAGAATTATTGAATGTGTATGTGCAGTTTATAGTTTCGAAATATTACCAAAGACTCTATTTTATGAACCGACAAAGTTCCTTCCTACATATCTTTAAAAGACGTACATAGACATGTCGACTTAGGTAACCTCTAATTGAACTATCCTTTAAAAAGAAAAAGAGTATAGGGTTGTCATTGTCTAGTCTTCTTTTAAATAAAAAGTTACAAAATGTTAAATCATGAGCTAAAGAAACCGTGTTGTTGCATGTTAGTGGACATGCATTTTTCTTTTAACTATATATAAAAATAAAATTTAATTTATTATATTTGTGGAGGAATTGAACATTTCTTTTAAGAAATATCTTCAATTCATGATAGGTAAGAGTTATATTTTCCAACGTTAACGTCCTTGATTAAGCCTACAATGCTTAACAATTCAACTTGGCGTTGCCACGTCGGTGGTGAGCATAATTTATCTTATCCATAGGCTATTTGTACATCTTCTTTTACCACTTGTTTGATAAATGGACGATATCACAATTTATACTGCTTGGATTAAATGTGTAAGATATGAAGGATGGAGGAAGATTATACCAATTATAAATTCGATAAATTAAGGTGTAAAATAAGATGTACATGTAGCAAGATTGTATCCACAGTTGGCAGGAGATTATTTTTAACTTTCTTATAACCCTAAATTTTGAAGAGGATGTCTCACCTAGCCCCATCCCATCCCACCACACCATACCCTTTTTTTCTTTCTCCTTGAAAATAAACTTCCTCGTTATCAATGTGGATGTTGACTGTTCAAGTTCTATGCTTTGGTTTCTTCTTTGTTGTTTCTTCAAGGTACCGACAGATCTGCCTAATATTATTTATATTTTATTTTTAGAATTTATTGAAAGAGTTTTGGTTTCATTTAAGAGAAGTTGGATTAAAATCTAGGTTCACTAAAAACCAAGATTTTGCTTAATTTATGTACAAGTTGATATATACACAGAATCTTCACTTATTAATTATTATCCTTCCAAACAAAGAAAAAATGATATCTTCACTAAAGCACAATTTAATTATGTAAATTCCCAATATAAAATTAGAACATCTAAGTCAAAGCAAAAGAAAATAAAGAATTGAAGACAAGCCAAAAGACACTAGAAAATCGCTGGCATTTGCAAAGTAATATATGATTGGAATACTTCAAAGATTTCATATAAAAAAATGAAAAATTATTATTAGAATATCTCAAGATAATTCATTTTAAAAAATCTGACGTGACATTTGCCATAATAATAAGATTTCTTTTTTATTTTCTTCATTTATTTCAAATTTCTAAACCTTCGTAATCTCGTAATAAATTATATGCTNATTATCTTCAAGAATCGAATGAAAATGGAGGTTTTAACAGATCATAAGGTGCCCAAAGTGCATCTAATGGACATGGCCGGCTCGCATCAAGCCTTGCCCATGGCTTACCTTTCCCACTCCAATGCAGTAGACTCACTGGCCCCGGATGTAAATCCCGGCAAAGCCCTCGAAAATTATCCCCTCCAAGACCATGCTGATTCCATCTGTGATCTACAGGAGCTATATTACCAGCAAAAACTAGCAAAAATGGTGGTAATGATCCCAAATTATATATCCTCATTCTCTTCTGCAACTCCATCCATTCCTCAATCTTTTTCGTGTAGTCCCCATCCCGCCACCGGTCAAGATCGATCACCATTACTCCAGTGTTGAAATAACAAGCTTTTCGGTTGGCGAAGGTTAAGGAAAGAGAAGGGTTTGACCAGAAAGTGGGAGTAAAATAGGAGGTGAAGTTGGCATTGCAGTATTCTGGTGCTGCTAAAACTTTGTCATCACCAAGTGGGATGGCTGCTAATTTAGCAATGTCATCAACTAGTACTAAATCTGAGTCCAAATACACAACTTTCCTCACACAGAGTGGCAAAAGATTTGCCAAGTAGCTGCGGGCGTAGTTGAGAGGGCAATCGAGGGCAGAGCGAATGGAGGTGGAGATTAGGCCTGCCACGGAAGTGTCATGGAAGCGGTAGATTTGGAACTTCAGGTACGGGAACGAGGTGGCGATGGTCGTTTGGAGGCGGGATGCGCTGGCCGAGGCTGATGCGACGAAGTGGAAGAAAACATTTTGTGGGCATGATGTGTGTTGGAGAGTAGACAAGATTGCTGCCATTGAGCCTCGGATGTATGTAACATCGAGGGTCATTGCCACATGGACAACCTCATCCGAGCATATATAGTTATTACTGTTTTTGTCATCGTTGGAATCATCATCGTTAGAGAGATTGTTAATTGAAGGGCACTCGGGGGCATTGTAGAATTTGGGGGCTTCTCCAAATTGTTGTGGAATTGTAGTTCTAACATTTTCTTTTGCTAGAGAGAAGAATATGTTGAAAGAAAGAAACAATAAAACGTGGACTGCTTGTTTAGGCTTCATGTGGAGGAGTTTAGAATTGGAAAAGAGAGATATCGAGTGGATTTATTTTGGGTTTGGTGGTTGGGATGGGGTGGGGGTAACAGGGTGTAAATTGAATTTGAAGTTAAACTAAAGGGACAGTCTTATTTGTATAGCTGTATGGTTGGCCGGGCTGCAGAGACCAGAAGGTGCCAAGTCATAGAATTTCGAACAGAACTTCTTTGGTTTCACACGTTGTTCTAGACTGCTCATTAATTGTATATTTATTAATTTATTGGAACTTTTATTTACCATAGTCTTCTTATTAATTTTTACTCTAAGACCATAGAAAGATTGCTCGCTTCAAAGAAAACTCTTCTAGATTTTGTGCCAGCCAAGTCCACTCAATTCGGCATAATTACAATAGAAGCAAGGAGAAGTCAAATGCAGACCCTTAGGATTTTTCTGAACGAATAGGGCCACATAGACCCTATCCGTGTAGCACGGCCCTAATTTGTAATATACCATCTAATGGAAGAGGTGTCTGAAAGTAGTCCATGTAAAGCTTGTAGTTCAGCTGATTTATTCCAATTCATAAACTTCATTTTTAACGTTGGAAGAGGCTTTCGAAGATCACTTATACTTCAACAAGTCAAGGTGTCCTAAAGAGTAAGTGAACTCCCTATTTAGACATATGGTATGAATGCGGTTCTTTGCCCCACTTATTTTTGAACGAATAATCAACTTTGGCTTAACTTATTTTCTTTTCTCTTGTTTAATACTATAATCTACTTAATTTACAAAAGGAAAGTATTAAAAGCAAGCACTTGCATGGCGCATATTAAAGTTTTTAGCTTTTTAAAAGTGATGACAGTGGTACATTGGGGACCAAATTTCGGTGCTCCATGGCAGAAATAGTTTAGAAGGCCCTCTAAATGTACGAGATTTGAATTCAACAATTAATCCATAGCTCATAAATTTACTATAAAAAGTAGTGTGAATTATTGAAAAAGATAATTGAAATAGCAAAAGTCGATAGGATAGAACTCTAGTCCGAGGTTGAGTTGCTCATTCCTCACAGAGGGATGTGACACACAACAAAGATATTATTATTTACGAACATATTTCCTATATATGCTTTATTTTATTGATAAATTGGTAACTAAGTCTCTATGAACGTGACAATAGACAAAGTTGACAATCATAATATTTTAAAAAATGTCTATTATTAGTTCATAGAAATCTATTGGTCATGTTGTAGATTTGTCCATCAATAATTACACATCTTCTCATAGTGAAACACGTTGAAATTAGCTTACTTAATGAATTAGATCTACGAGAATGTAGAGTTTCAATTATAATCACACGAATAATTGAATTATTTTCAAGTAAAACTCAAACTGATAAATTCTATTTTTCAAATGAATACTGATGTTCGACGAATTCTATTCACCATTCACCACCAACTATTCACTGTTCAAGTGTGTGTAAATTTTTCTATGACCAAATTGCAAGGTTGTTGGTACCTCTTTTTCATAAAATTGATATTTCTCCCATATACACTCCTCGAAAATAATGGTTTAGCAACCAGATCTCCATTTCTTCTAAAAGAGGAAATAGGGTTTTATTATTTATTAATTCTTAAGAACTATGAATTTCCAAATTTAACTTCTCAGGACATAAAGTTACAAAACGAGACAATTCAACAATAATTTAATACAATTTAATACTTTTCTTTTTCATAGTTCGGATGCGTGCGTATATTGAAGTATTTAAATAGAATATTAATGTTAACTTATACTAATGTTTTAATATAAAAATTTGAGAAGTATCGAACAAATTAAGCTTTAATATAAAGAAGAAACGTATACGCAATGTTTGTTTATTATGTAATTTAAGTCTCGTCTAGCCTAATGTGCGCATTTTTCTTTCTTCTTTTCAACCACACATTCTTTATTAAAATAATATTACACGTAAATCAAAAAAAATTTCTTATTTTTCAACCACACATTTCGCATCAATTTACTATTCAAAAATGCATTTTTACATAAAAATGTCTCTCAAACACCCTCATATTGTAAATAGACCGTTATATTTTCCCCAATTTATGAACCTTCAACCTATTGCCATGGCTTACAAATTTCTCTGAAATAGACCAAAGCCAGTCCGGAAACAGATATCCCATAGCGTCCTCCAAAACACAAAATCCTACAAAGATAATCTGATGCTAAGTTTAGATATATTTTTCCATAATCATGTTGTCAGCAACTATTTTGTGGTATCCTCCAAATGAATATTATCCGTATGGGCATCTATTTCTGGTAAATTCGTAAAGCTGCCCTACTAAAAGAGTATGGGAGGGCTATGTAGATAAGATTCGAGGATACATAAATTTCAATAGAAACTGAAATGGAGTCATCAAGTCAAATGTCAACTTATTCAATCATAACCTTGTACCCATGCCAGATTCATCTTCCATGAATTACCCAGTACTTGATACATTTGAGCCACAATAATATAAGAACAAGAATGAAAAATATAGTTGTTACGAACTCCACAAAAGAGATATATTTTCAAATATGGTGACTTGATGTGATGAATAACAATCATATTTTTCATTTTAATGTGTAAATAATGAAAAACAAACAGAGGCTTAGATTATGATTCAAGTTCATTGCACGAGTTCAAGACAGAACGTTGAATGAAAAAGTCATCAGTCCGTGTGGGGTCACAAATGAACCAAAAGGATCCCACCCACCAAGACTCACCAAGAATATAATGCTCTTTTTTTCTTTTTCTTTTTTTAAATTTATTTACAAGGAGAACCCATAGTCTAAAAAAAATTTATGTAGGTTTAAAAGAAAAAATTTAATGAAATGTCTCAGTGATATTCGATTTTGTCTTGTTATTCTGTGCATGGTATATGACAAAAAAGATCTCCTATCCATAATGAGCACAGGAAATATAGTTCCCATATATATTTTAGACCTCATGGTGATGCGGCAACATGTGACCGGTGGGCAAGGTATCGGTTCTGTGGCATATGATATTAAATAGTTTACGAGCAAAATTTGACGACGCCAATTTATGAAATTGAACTAAGAAGAATAAGTATGATAATTGAGTAATGAATCATTCTTGAAGCTAGTAATTAAACAAGTCAATATATTCAACACATTAATTACCAAGATAATTCTGTTACCTAAAATGAGTTAGGTAGAATTAACAAAAACCTTGTATTTTGAAGCTTCCAAGCTGCATAACGCTGCAATATAGCACGTGGGGGTGTCAACTCAACAACAATCTGGTTATGCAGTCTCAAAGAACTTAACAGGAGAATCTTTTTTAACATCTTTTAAGTCAGTAGAGTACTGAAGTTCTACAAAAATGCTAATTATCGTATGAAAAAGCAATAGTGAATTGGCAACAAGAATTTCAACCGGGATCCAATGAAACTGAATATGTAGGATTATACTCACATTCTACCATCTATAAACATGCGGTGCAAAGCGATTCAATGATCCGAAGCTAAGTCATTGCAGTTCAGGAAAATTGTAGGAATTGTGTCTGGATAGTTTATGCACAAATATATTCTCCAGGACCAAACAGAAAGAAGCAAAAGAAGAAACAGAGAGGGCACAAACTCAACATAACAACTTAATCAACGCTTTACATTCTGGTAAAAATGAACTCGTCTAGCTCTATTTTCTTGGACAAACAATCCATGTGCCACGTAGCCAATTATGCCTACCTTTGATTCTGAACATGGTAACATGGTACACAAACTTTATTTCATTACTACAAATCATTCATTTATTATCTTCTAGACTTGATTTATGAATTGAACAAGCTATATATAAGAAGAAAAGTGCTGATGGGATAAACCCTCAGGTTCAGAGTAGCTGCATCCAGAGTTTCCACATACGCAACTCAGGAAACCCGATGCAAATGTGAAAATATACTATATATAGAGGGTTACAGGATGAACTAAACCAGAGAAATCTCCATATTAGATCAACAATACAGAAATTTTTCTTTTCCTTGTTCTTTAATTATTCGACCCCATAGGTCAGCCAATTGATATATCAACCTAAGAATGGCCACTCAACCAGCTTGCATAGTTTAGCCTCAGAAAATGTACCTCAGCAAGGTCCATATATGAAACTACATTACATGTATCTTTCCAGAGTAAAGGGTATACATATTTTGGCAAACAAATAAACATTTTGCACAGTTCAACAAAACACTTAAGAGTGCACTGGGCAGGGAAGTAAAAAAATGTAACTGATGTGTTTCATGTTTGTTTGCAGGTTAGACTTTTCGTTTTGATATATTTTTTTCATTTCATTATGGATTTTTCAAGATAGTACATATATAGTTGATATGAGCATATTTTTGTTCTTTTGAGTTCTTCTCGAAGCTTACACCTCAAAGCATCTTGAGCCTTACATCTTGCCTCACAAAGATAAAATGCAGGAAAACACGAGAGGACGGATTGCAAGGACAGGGATTCAAAAAGTGACACAAGTTACCAACCATGGATACCTTACAGTTAAAAGTGATGCAACTACAAATGATACTACAGAAACAGACGTCTAAATTAAAAAAAGTCGAAAGTACAAGAGCGGAGGAAAGGCACACAAGTGCACTATCAAATATACAAGGAAACCATATAATCCTGGAAACTGGACGGCAAATCAAGTTACAATGATAAATTTACCTCAACTCCAAATTAGAGTCACGAGCACACTCAAACCAATCACCAAAAGGAGAAATTTCAGGGTAGAATCTGCCTGCTGCTGCTGATTTCCACGATGCGGGAATCCATGAGCATGTCCACCATGAAAGGAATTCGGATACCCAAAGGGAAAACCAGGACTGGCTCCATACATGTTGGCATCAGGAAATCCATGAACCTGAATGTTAAAAAATGAGGGGAATAGACCACCAAGGGCCGCAGATAATGTGAAGTTCCCAAATCTCGCAGTAGCCATAGGTGCAATCCCCCCAAATGGTCCAAAGCCCCCCATAACTCCAAACCCTTGTTGTGCAAAACCATTAACGTTAGGATCCGGCGGAGGAGCTGTCTCAGGCCTCTGTCCCGTTGGCCGGTGTGGAATCTCCATCCCAGGAATTGACTTAGACCGAGGGTCAGTTGAGTTCTTACCTCGGCCATATAGAGGGACTAATTTCTCCTCTTCAATAAGAGCCTTACAAACCGGACATTCTTGGGACCGAGAGTGAATGTGAAGCCATTTATAAAGGCAAGGCCAGCAAAAGAGGTGACCGCAGAGTGTGACAATGGGGTCTTGTGCTAAATCAAAGCAAATATTGCACTCAAAATTCCCAGCATCGCTGTTGTTATTGTTATTGTTATTGCTAGAGAAAGAAGGGCTGGGGCGGTGCCTGCTTGTCGATTCCCCAAACCCACTCTCCATCTTTCAACCCCAAAACACTCAAATATCCTATCAAAATGTAAATTATAAATCAGAAAAGAAACAAAACCAACAGATATCTACAAAAAAAAAAAAAAAAAAAAAAAAAAAAAAAAAAAAAAAAAAAAAACACCTTTATGCAATATAAACACCGACATCAACAAACCCTCTCGACAAATTACATAACTTTTTAACACCCAAAATTATCTTCAAACAATATTCTATTTTCTAAGAAGTCAACTCAATATTGCAACTAATTCAACACAATATCAAATTAGGGGTTTATTAAAAAAAATAAAAATGAAGCCGGATTATAGTACCATTAATCGAATTCAATACAAACATAGCAGGATCTGGCGTAATCAAGAATATTAAGCATGTCAAAAGAAAACAAAGATTAAAAACGCAAAAGCAAGAAAAAATTACAGAGAGAAAGGGAGAGGATTAACCTTGGTACCAAAAGAGGTTGGCAATAGAGGGATCGAAAGAGAATTAAAAAGACGAAGTTAAAAAGACGAAATTGGGACCATTACTATTGTTTAGTATTATGGAATAACCACGAGACTTTTATTGGAAGTTTCTGTGAAAATAAGGTAGTAGAAATGTCATGTATCCAGCTGGCGAATTATTATTGGATATCTCCATCTTAAATTTCGAGATTTGACAAATAGTTAAATGTTGATAAATTTCTAGTCACCGTCATACGCTTACGCAAAGAATAAAGGTCACCTCACCGGCCTCTATACTTGAATTTTTCACAATTACCAGCAAGAAAAATAAAAGGGAAAAATTAGAGGGGAAAAAACAAATTTTGTGCCATCCATGGCTATCTTAAGTCGTCCTCTTGCTGTTATCTCTGTTCTGTCACCTACATACCGTTTTGAAATTCCATCTTGAATTCACTAATTTGTTATTTCGACCATTGCTTGTTGAAAAACAATTGAGAGAACGGAACATAAATATCAAATACCAAATTGAGGACGAACTTGAACCGAGAAGTTCATTAGAAATGGGAGAAACATGGAAATGAAGGCTTGAATATATGTGATGCTAACAAAAATTCGTACCTAAAAAATCCCGAACTTGACGACAAAATATGAGCACGAATAGAATCTTTAGTTCCTAAAACAAAGGCGTCGAATTGTGTCGTCGTCGTCCATCTGATACTTAAATTAGATGGAGAATTTATAAGTGAAACTATAACCTGTGTACCTAAATAATGAATTAAGGTCCCATATTTATAGATATATGCAAGACAATCGTAGTAGATTTAGGTTATTTGATGCATTATTTGTTTCAGAGTTATGGAAGGTGTTAAAGTTCTATTATGATAGGACAAAAAAGGTCTAGCAGAACTCAACTTTATCGGAGTAGGATAAGCCTTAACTTATGAAAGTAGAGCCCTAATGGGAAATTTAGAGGCTGTTTGGAAGTGATTTTGAGAATTGATTTTTGACCGTTAGAAGAAAAGTGGGGTCCACCCGTGAGAGAAGAAGTCAAATATGACGATTGAAATACTGAAATAACGGTCAAAAAATTAATTTTTTTGGTGAAAAAATGGAGCTCAAACAGGCCGTTAGTGTACATACATGTTGGAAATTTAGTCCTAATGAAAGTTGAAAAACGAAAAATGTCTTTAATTTGGGAAAAATGGTATTTTCTTCATTACTACATATTACCTATCTATACAATTATTCATATAGAAAATTATGTTCGTGTAATTAATTATTTTCCATTAAACAATTTTAATCTCCAACTTTAATCAAGAATTTTGATCTTTTTGAATTGCTTCTAACCCTTGAAGTTACTTTAATATTCTCTAACAAGTGTGCATCAAGGTCTGATCAAGAACCTCAACAAAAACTAATATCTGACCAAGAATCACCAACAAAGGCCTACTCAAGAACTCAGTACTCATTAGTTTCCAGAAATTGAACTCTTATTGAGGAAATTAATTCTCGAATACACTTAAAGAATTGATATTTTTTGTCCAAGATGTACTTGATTATTGTAGTATCTTCAAAACTTAAAACTGAAGTTTCAAGTCAGCTATAATTCTTTCAAGTATTCGGTCAAACTTTTAACTTTTTATTTTAATCAAAATTCCGATTTGGCCATCTGATCAACCAGATTACTTTGATCAAACTTTGACTAGGTAAATAAGTACTTGGACTTTTTCAAAGCTACTAAAGTGGTCCAATAAGACATATATAAATCACAATATTTAATAATAACTAAACACAGACTATTTGATCCAATCTATTAAGTTCGATTATTAGTCTGAGCTTATTCCACTATAGACCAAAAATTGAACTATTGAAATATATAAAATAACAAAAAGCTACCTGTAATTAAATTTTCTTGACTTGTTATCTTAGTTTATTGAAAAAAGTTCCATACATAGGTCCATTGCACAGGGCCTATACAGGAGCTATCACATAGGGGTGGACCCTACATGTGGACCTCATGTGTGGGGTCCACCTCCATGTTTGTGTTCCTGTACAGGCCCTGTGCAAGTTGCACAGCTCTAATATATTATCTTTGTCAGACATGAAATAATTAGGGTTGAGCTAAATTGAGTGTTTTATTTTCTTTGCTCTTCTAAAGTAATTGAATACTGAGTGCAAAGAGCTCTGTCTTGGTTCTCTTCTCTGACTATAGGCTAGCGCTCTCTTATTTGCTTTGTCTATCGAGCCGTCACAGAGAAAGGAAAGAAATCTAAATCGAAGATAGAAAGAACAAAATCAAGAGTCGACACCGCTTCAATTTCCAATCGTCGAATTTTCCTCTTCTTCGATTTAAAGAGAGATGTCTTCTCAGTAACTCATGTAATGTCGTCCTATATTACGTATGAGGTGATTGATCTCTATGGTTCTCTCCGATCTCCTTTCTAGATTTTTTTCTAAGAGTAAAAATGAGAAATTTTTCATTTGCCAATAAATTGGATCGATCTCGATTCGATCAATAATGGAATTCTTGGCTAGAGAAAGATTTCGTCACATGTATGCCAACTAGCCAACTGGTCAAAGAATGCTCAATCCCAATTGTCTCCCTCGGAGCGCATAATAATTATATTCTCACTTAACATTAAAAAATTCTATTTTTTATAATAACAAAATAACTTAGTGACGATAATGTACAGATAAATTACTAACAATTGGGATAGTTAGAAGTTGATAGTTCGTTCATAAAAAATGGATAAGAGGAATGAGATATTATTATACTTAATGAGCATTGAGGTTTATATAATCAATAATGACTTGAACAATGGGTTGTTTCACAAAGATCTTGATTAAAAAAAAAAATTATCAAATTTTGATAAAAGTTGATGAAATACGAGTTAAATAGTTAATAAAAGTTGTGGGTATCATGAAATATGTTATTTAGATTAGTTGTTGACTTTGACATCAATATTTTAAACCATTCCAAATCAGCGCAAAATTTGTAACCTAAACAAGTTGAGCAAAATATTTGCATGAAAATTATAACCATGAAAAAAAAATCCTTGTATGGTCTTTATATTAAGGATTAATCTATTTTGATAGAAGAATAATGACCAAAAGGTTGACAGATGTATATGTGGTAGTAGATAAATTGATGAAAAAGTTAACTGTGTTTTAAACTATTTAATGATAGAATGTCATATAATATTATGTCAACCATTATGTCACCGTAGCATGATTCTTGTGTTAATAGCAAATGTTGGTTTGAATGGAAAGATAGCAAAGAGAATGAAACTCCTAGACACATACAACCACATTGTCATCTTTTATTTAATCACTACTAATTACAGGCTCATTTGACATGATTTTATTTTTGCTTTTACTTCCTGTAAAAGAACTTTCTAGGAAGATGTCTTAATTTTTGTTTAGAAACCAAGCCCTTGTTTGACAACCATTCTTACAAAACTCTTTTTTCTCATAATTATTTTTAACGACATATTCCTACAACAAAATATTTCTCATGTAGACCAAAACTTTTTTCTACATTTTAATCATGCATTCTTCAAAAATTTACTATTAAAAACTCATTCTTTCCAAAAAATTGATTGTCAAACAAGAACTAATTTGTAAGAGAACTTCTTATTTCAAAAGTAATTTTAAAGAAAACGACATTGAACCAATTTTCTTTAAAAGTTTTTGTAATTAAAATGAAACGCTCTCATAAAAGTACAAAAAACTCCTTTTGACTCTCAAATGTCGGTTAAACGATCCCTTCATGTAATTTTTTAAGGTTTTTTCTCACACGCCGTGATTAAAAATTAAAAACATTTAGGGTGTGTTTAGTACATTGTATTAGATTATAGATGGGAGAATTAAGAGCGATTAGATTAAGGGGACTTAATTGTTTTATGCCTCTCAGCGAACTTTTTAAACAAAAACTGTTATTAAAAATGAAAATGCACTAATAAATAGAAGATTGAAGATAAGAATGCTTCAAAAAACATTAAGTACATAAGGGCTATTGATTGTTTGATTTTCCCACAAATGAACGATATCGCAAACATGTAATACAATGATGAATAAAGTATTGTTTCCACGAGAATTATATACTTAATCCTTGATCAATTAATTTCAACTTTCATCGAATGGCAAATTTTGTTGAAGAATTTATACTAAATTAACTAATTAAACTATCCTATTGAGCAATTTATAAAACTTCTATAAATTTCGATGTGATATGATTAAGATCTTAAATTCTCATTATTAGTCAATTTCAATTCAAATCAATAACATGACAATAAGTGCACATTCTTATTGATCAATGTTCGCAAGTTAATTAAAAGCATATCTCGTTATCAATTAAATATATCATCTCATATGAACTTCTTATATTTCTATGAAAGATGCGAACATGAAATCATGCATTAAAAATATTAGAACATCTATAAAAATTATACAAAGCATAACGGTGTATCTCTATCCCCTATCAAATTTTACAATAATTATTATAAAATACTATCTATCCTATTGTTTTCTATCGAAATCAATAAAATTCACAATCAATCCAATTGGTAATCAAGTACTTGAAAAGCCATTAAATCCTATAACAATCATCAAAAAATAAACACATATTGGAAGTTAAATTATTGAATTTATATTAAAAACTTCATAATAAAAATTGATCAATGTTTTAGTAATTAGAAAATTAGCCTACCATAAAAAATTACAAGAAAACATACTTAATTTCTAAACATCACCTGAATTTTGATTAACTGAAGAAGAATATGATGAATTTTTGAAATTTTAAATCTTTTCAATGGTCTCTTGATGAATTGTAGTTGTGCCTTTCCTTCGTTACCCAAAACCAAGCATTGATCTCCAATTTATGAATATCTTGCAATTACCTCTTGATTTGCTCAGAAGTGTTGATTTTGATCTTTCTTTGATGTAATAAATTATGAATCTAGGTGTATGAAAGATGTATGAAAGGACCCCCTACTGTATTATGCTATTATGTATTTATGTGAGTCAAAAATTAGTTGAAAAGAGCTCCAATCAAATAAGGAAAGTTGCATTCGCACGTGCATATTTTTGTCTCTGTACAATCTTTAGTATT